TAAAATATTTTTATTCTAAGAAGAATGCAAGTGATAAGAACATTGTTGTGAGGGAATGACGCGAAACACTGGGGACAAAGTTTAAAATAGTGCTGTGTTAATATTTTTATCAGAAATTAAATTTAAAATTGATTTTCTGAATTCTATATTTCAGTATTCTGAAATAAAAAGCACGAATTTGTAAAAAAAAAAAAATTTACTTCAGAAACAATTTTTTTCTTTTTTTAAATCAGCAGTAGGGACAAGTGAGGGAATGACATATTGGTATATTTTAATTACTTAAAATAAATAAAAAATAAGAAATGATAATTTTATTTTTATTCTTTTGTTAGCTTGCATTCTGAAGGACACTTTCCCTGAATTTTTTTTTTTCGTAAGCTGTAAAAGAAACATAAAATATACTGGGGACATGAAAATGACTGTTTTTGTGAGAATGACCCATATAACGAAACGAATAAATAAATTTCTTAATATCCATAAATTATTAAATGTATCTTTTTGTCTCCATGAAATTTACTTCATGCTTAACTGACTCTTTTATATTTCGCTTTTCTTCACGGGAAAAATATGTAGTGTTTGAATGTTTCACTTTTATCATTGCTTACGAGAACATTTTTGCTATCTAGGCTATCTAGCAATAAAAGAGCACATAAATAGAAAAATTTTTTTCGTTAAAACCAGAACCTCCTTTTTAGACCATTCTGCATTTTTTAAAAATAACATAGTTTGATTTCAATGGTCTTTGCTATGCTGTTTATATACTGTACACACAAGTATATGTGCATACAATACTCTCCCTTTATGTAAAATGAGATGTCATCAGTTGCAGACAGCAATTGAATTTGTTATAACTTTTACAGGAAAACATTAGACAAAAAGTATTGAAGATGTAATAGACAAGCAGTTCAATATTTTAAAACTCCAATTTATACCAGCGCTGCATTTTTTGATCTGCCAATGATTTTTCTTTAAGACTTTGAATAAAAATTTATCGAAACAGCAGTTGTAAAGCTTTTGTGACTTTCATGCCTTGTATGCTATTTCTGTTCTTCGTTAATATTAAAGAAAAGTGAACAGTAGTCCAAGATTATGAATAACATTAAAAAAATCATTAATGTAGTAAAAATAGATGCTATCATAATTATTCATATATTCTCTTAGTGAAATTCTTTATTTATTAAATAATTTGTAAGAAAATTTGATTAATACGATGAAATCGATAAATATCAGAAAGTTCTTGACTAGCTAACTCCTGAAAGTTTGTGTAAATGATAAGCGAGTAACTTACCTTTAAAAAAAGATACTAACCGTTGATTTCTTTCTTTTTTTCAAAATAAAAATGAACATAAAAATTTATAATTAAATCAGTTAATATGACTTCTGTATCTTTAAAAATCTAGCACCTATCTGAAGTATTTTTCTTTTATATTTTCAGTCACATTTTCCCCCGACAACTTGGGAGTCAGTTTTCCAAAAAGTCATTGATGACTGGAAAAGTCAGCTGAAAACCCGAATAAAAATAAGTAATGATGAAAAAAATTTGTTGAAGTGGCGAAGTAAACTGACGCCTAACGAAGTAATGTTTAATTTTCGTGAAAGTGATGTATTCTTTAAGCAAATGTGTATTCTGTTTCTCAGGGGGGGGGTTTTTCTCACCCTTGATTCAAAAATGTAATTTGTAAAATAAAAATGAATGCTTTAGTGTTAAAGACATTGCATGAGACAATATGTATTGCTTACGATCATTGAATTAAAGCAATGTTTATTTTTTTCATTTTTGAGCAAACATCTGTAAAGACATTCTTCGTCTTAGCATAAATTACGCGTCAAAATGCAAGATATAACAAGTAAACATGTATTTGCAAGATGTCCAACATATTCTCAAACATTTTCGTAACGTTGTTAAAATTATTGACTTAATTTATCGCAATGAAGATAATACTGTGTGCAAATCCTTATGGCAGGTTCTATCTCATAAATGTTTTGCATGAGCAGAAACACCTGGTGTAATTTTTTTCAATGCTCGTACTGTGACACCTCAAAATCGGTTCAAATCTGTGTATTTAATATCATTCAGTTTCGGCAGCGTGTATAGCCACCCAAAATAATATAACGATTTAGTCAAAGAACCAATCAAAAGACCAATGATTTTTTGACAGAAAATCAGCTAAATTGTCTTTGCAACAATGGTTTTGGTTTGAGATGGGGCACTATCTTTCTAATATCAATTATATTCGTGTCCATACATGGCTCTTCAAATTATGCAAAAGAAATGTTTTCTAATTCCACTTTTTGTTAAAATCGGTTCAAATTTAAAACCCCTTATCAATGAAAACCAGTGGAGGTTATCTCTTCTTAGTAAAAGCTCCCCAAACCATTAATGAGAATGCTTTTTGAAATTCAGGCTCTAACATTTTGATCGTATGGTAATTCTTGAATCAATGCCAACCATAAGAATAAATTTAGACGGTTGTGGGGTTGTCCCAACTGAAAAGCTTTATCATCAGAGATGGCAAACAATCTTTGAGTGAACAATAAAAAACTTTGTCCATCCTTTCCATTTGCTTATTTAATGGCAAGCACTATTTTTGCACATATTTGCACAAGTTTCCAATACCTCCATGATATGTTATATAATAAGCTATTAGACCCAAGCATCTTTGTTTTATCTTACGAAACCTCACGATATAAATACCTTACCTTAGATTACGAAAATTTATTGAATATTCTCTTTGTAAATGAATGTAACAAGAAATTGCTTAAATTAACAGCATTTGTTTACAAGTGCTTAGTTTCAAGCTTGCTACAAGTACGGCAAGTGCTCAGTGTGTAAAAGTAAAGAAAGTAAATATTTAAAGTAAAAATTTCTTCTCGAAAGTGAAAATCCTGAAAACTGATTCTGAATAGTTATAACAAAACAAAAACCAAAATCATCGGAATGGGATGTAAAATATAATTGTAAAATGAGTTTTTTTTTTATTCAAGCTCTTAATTAGTTCAAGAATGATTTTTCTTACGAATTTATTTCCTTCTTAGTTTTTAATAATCTTCCAAACAAAAATAAATTTTGAGTCAGAGCTTGCCTTTACTTGTTTTGAACACGTTACGGAAGAAGAGCATGACTAGTAAAAGTTTCAGTAGGAGACTAATCTTGATGCATATTTCAAATTTCAATTTCAATTTTTAATTAATTTATCAATTGGAAAGCAGTTCAGTGGAGAAGAGAATAAATTTCCCTTCATACATCAACTTCAAAGGACTTATGATTTTTCTATAGCATTACTCTCAAACAACGCAAAAACAGATAGTTTCACCATCAATTATATTCACTCATAAGCGAATCATCTTAGCTATTTGCAAGTATTTTATCTTTACAACAATGATAAGTGATAAGGATGCCACGTAAAATCGTTCAGACAAAATGTTCGATGTTTGAATTTTTACTGCCATCTCCTTATTTCCCTATCCTATCAATGACTTTAAGTCCAGACGTTGCTGTTAAAGTAAAACCACTTTTGGATCTACAAAAATATATTGTACTACAGATATCTCCTAAATTTCTAATCTTGTATTTACTCAATCCCACCATTTTCAACAGAAAGCGCTAACCAATTAAAAATTAACCTTTTTCAACTAAAAATAGAAATAACTTTCACTACAATTTACAATAAAATTATAATCTTACTTTCATTGATAAGTACAGTTAAAATGTCAGGGTCACATAAAAGTATCATTAGATTTTACAGTTAACCAAAGCTTATTTTAAATTTCTCTGCAAATTCAAAGTTTATTTTCTCCAATGCCGACCCGTATTTGTGTTGACATTTGTCATTCGGGTATCAGAAAGTTGGCCATTCTTTCAGGGGAACTATATGAGGTGGGTCGACGTTGCTTTTACAGTAAAAAGAACAAATGGTAAGAGAGAGAGGACGGAAAAAAACATCCATGCCTCTAACCGAAATTCGAACCTAGATCCCTTCTGACATGAAGTGAGCTCCTTGATCACTAAACATGCCGATCGACCTGTAAATTTAAAATCAACTTTTACGTCACTTTAAACACATCCAAACATTTGAAATTTGCCCTAACTATTCTTAACACTATGTACTAAATGATGACTAAAAACTATCATCCAATAACTGTAATATTTTTTTATAGTGCTTCGACTACATGAGTGGTCACAGGTATGAACTCGACAGATTGTACGAAACTACTAATTTATGCGAATATTACCAGTTAAACTACCAGATCTCCTTAATAGTAATGAGTATTTTATTATTTATTTCTTTAAATAAGTTTAATTAAATAATGTGCATCTTACGAAATGAATATTTTTTTTTTGCAGGAACTTCCAAAAATAGCTAAAGAACTTTCCGCGAAAAGTTCTCCTACCAATTCTAAGGAATCTCCCGTGAGTGCAAGTATTTGATGAGAATTTCTAATAATACTTTTTTTTAAGAAAAAAGGAATATTGTTGTTAAAGCACAATAAGCATTTTCAATGGTTAATTTCAAGATTTTAATCTTGTTTAGGCTTCAAATTGGGAAGATTTATTCAGAGCACTATTACGCATTTTATCTGATGGTAACATATTAGTTAGAAGTCTTAAGAAAGCCGACATTCATATTCGTTATCAAGTAAGGCATGTTACATTGTTTGAGTACATTTCTGTTTATTGAAGTAAAATTTTGGTAATAAACCAAATAAAAAGTGCATTTAAAAATTTTGGGGTTGAAATTGTTTTACAATTTTTTTTCTAACATAGGCTGCTAAAATTTATTCCTCTTGGGAAGAGTGTTTTAAAATTGCTGTGGATAAAAGACTTTCTGAAGTACAAAAGGAATTAAAAGACAGTGAAACATTAAAAAGAATAGCGACAGATCTAAGTAAAAGATTTCAACTGACGCATCAGAAAAGAGATTTTAAAGACATCCCAGTAAGTTTTTTTAAACATTCTTTTATAAAGTGCAGAATTCTTTCAAAACTTGTTCCTTGCGAAAAAGTGAACGACAATTTGTAAGAAAACACCCATCAATAAGAAGCATTTAAATATTATTTAAAAGGAGAATTTATTTTAACAAATGCATAATGTTAACCTCTGATCAACAATAATAGAAGAAATGCCTTGAATTGAAATACTTGTGCAACAATAACGCAAAAATATGCGTTGGACTGATCTTATAGGAACAGTCAACATCCACAGAAGCACCTTTCTACAACTGACGCACTCACTCAAGACGTCACGAGGTTAAACTAGACTTTTCCCCCTCAGCGACACCTTTTAGCTGAGTTTTCGCAGATTTCGTCTGGAAGTGGTGGCAACATGGTAGTTCCGGGAGTCTTCCTTTCCCCCTGTGGAAAAAACTTTCTTTTCTGTGGTGATAGTGTACCCGCTTTTAGTTTTGTCTAGAAGTGCACGAGAAGGTTCACGAGTTTTTTTTAGTTTAACTTAAATCAAATCAACTTTAATATTTGGTTTCACGACCAGCAAAACCCACCATTAATACATAAGTTCGGAGAATTTATTGTAAATCGTTAATAAAAGACTGGGCATTTTGCGATTGTTTTCTAATTTTCCACAATGCCGAATGCACTTGAAACTTGGTTTCGTCATTAAAAATGAGAGTAAATATATTTGAAAACAGCCATATATGTCAAGAAAAAATTATACACATTTTAAAAGATAATCTTCTTTAGTCCCAAACATTCTAAAACATACGAATATAGATAAAATAAGGGTGGACACATTGTAATTTCTTCTGTATTTTTTCGAGTTGCTGAATTCCCTAGAAACTAGTTTCATAATTAAATGAAAACGTCAATTCGTTTAAAAAGATGCATAAATGTCAAAAAATATTCGTGGAAAATTTAAAAGAGGAACTTGTTAGTCCAGAACAAGCTATAATCAGAGTAGGTACAATGCACCAAAAAAAACGGATACCCTGAATAACTTTTGATCTAATAATAGGATCTTCTCGGTCTAGGACTCAATCTTAATGGTTTGAAAAGGTGGCCTCAAATCTGCTAAATAGTTAGTGCAAACGATGTTTTGAGCTACGTAATCAGACACAAAAACGTTCCTTGTCTGAAAAAACATACCTTTTTTTTTTCGATTGATCCAAATTTCTGAACCTCAAAATATAGGGGGTTGCCGCTATCTGGGAAGTATGGTCTCCATAGTTTGACAGGAGAGCAATTCAAAGTGTGAACCCCTTAATATTAGTTTCTCTTTTTGCGTATTTCGCCATATTTCAAGAATTTTTTTAGCGAATTGAAAAATTTTTTCCGCACAATAATAAAATTCGTTTACCCAAAAATAATTTCAAGCAAATAATAAATTTTAGTAATTATTTATCATTTTATTTAATAATAGTCGAAAAAATTTTGAATTGTAAAGTATGAAATTTTTTTATATCATGTTAAAAAATTTAAATTTACATGGCAAATAGTTCCTGAGAAATTGAATTTTTAAAGAAGTGGTATATTTAAAATTCGATTTATGGAACTATTTTACTGATTTTGCTCATGTTTTGTATTTTGCCATGTAAAATTACACACTTTTAAATGATTAAAAAAGTCTATACCTCACAATTAATGTATGTATTACATATAAAAATGATAAATATTTACTAAAATTTATATTTTGTATGGAATTATCTTTAAATAAATGAATTTCAGAAATGTGTGGAAATTTTTTTCCATTCGCTTAAAAAGTTTTCGAGATATGGTTAAATGTACAAAAAATAAAATTAATATTAATGGGTCCAAACTTTAAACCGCTTTCATGACCAAAGTAAAGGGTATCGTATTTCCTAAATTGCGACTACCACTTATATTTTGGGAAATCCAGATTCGTTGAAAAGAATCCGTGTTTACTCAGAGAAAGGACGTTTTTGTGTCTGATTTCGTGACTTAAAATTTCTTCTGCACTAATTAATTAGCATATTTGAAGTCAGCCTTTTGAACCATTAAGATTGAGTCATAAAGCGTGAAGATCTTAGTGGTGCACTATTCACTGTTAGCGGGAACTAGAATAACTTGTGATCTAATGATAGGACCTTTTTGTACTAGGACACAATCTTAATAGTTCGGACAAAATGTTTTTTATATTTCCTTTTCCTTAATACTGCTTCATTTCATTCTTAACTAGGAAAGCTATTCGAGTGCTTCTTGGTCAAAGTCACTAGTTAATAATTATGAAGGTCATATAAAACGACTTACAAGCGTCATTGAGGCCAAAAAGAATGAAGAGTGTGAAACTTCGCAAGAAGCTGATGTTTCTCCCGTCGAAACAGATAAAGAAATGAAATTGTTTTTGGAAATTCAAGTAAAACGAAAATTAATTATTTCTTTTAATAAGGGGGAAAAAAGTGCACCAGAATTGCTCCTTGAAAAAGTCCTTAATTGAAAATTCCGTGTTAATAATAAATAAACAGTACACGTAACGAATTACAAAAAATTATTTTTAGTTAACTTTCTTAAGTGTTTCTCTAAAAAAGATGAAAAATGCAGCTTTTTAAATTTGTGTAGTTATGTGGCTTACTAATGTTTATTTACTATCAGACAGAAAACTTTAAAGTCCATATTTCCTACTTTCAATTTAAAATATTTACGCATTTCCCAAATTTTGTACGCTAATTATCCCAAAAGTCAGGACCTTTTTTAAAAATAAAAATAGTTCTATAATTGTATAGTTGATATTTGTATAGTAATGTTGTATAATAAAAATAGTTAAATAGTTCTATCATCGTATGTTTAATGTTGCATCATTATAAAGGTTAAACATTTGTAAATTTCGCTATATAATCGTCACTTCGACCAATGTGTTTTGGTGGACGCGGTGACAATTTTTTATTCTCCGTGTCATATCAGCTCCCAGCCATGTATTTTTTTATGACTGTCACACTTTCTCCCCGTTCTCGGAGATGAATATCGCGTTGTCTGGCAAAATATTCTTTTGATTTAGAGAACGGGTGCGATACCAGGACCGGATGGTGGATGTGAGATGCTTCATAAAAACTATTGAGAGAGAATTTATAAGACTGCAAATTCAAATAGGAAATTCAATGCTTTATCAAGGAAAGAATGGGAGCTGGTATGGCAAGGGTACACAAAAAACGACGCAGCGTAAAGGGCAAAAAATTACGGTCAAAAACGGCCACAAGGTGACTAAATATAATAAGAGACGATCCAAAAGCCGGAGGACAATTGCCAATCGATAGTTATTTATTGTCAAAAATGCAACCCATGTGCATTTTTAATAAAAATTTTGGTAATTCCTTTTTTTAAAAAAAGAATTGAAATATTCTGAATATTTTATGATATTCTGAAAACTACTTCATTTCATGTTTTTTTTTTTTTGCGAATCTTGTTATGTTTACCATATTTTTAGGAATGCTTTAAATCATTAAAAATATTTAATTGGCTAAAAATTTCAATTTTTGAAACTGTGGCCAATTTTAAAAATACTACAACAGGAAAGTAGCAAAATTTCTTATTCTTGTCCCACAACGCAGCGTATACAAAAATGCATCAAGCAAGGTGGTGATTGTGTAGAAATATAAAACAATTCAATCTTTATAACTATTTAATATTATGGAAAATAAACGAATTTTTATATCTTAAAAATCTTGGGTCTCTTCTCGTATTTATTAAAACAACAATTTATTTGTTTACCTACAATATTTGTAATTGTTTTAACAATAATGCAAAATTTTTGCAGTGCTTGTTGAGACTCTTTTAGTTAAATTTCAAGATATTTTGGATCATAATGAAATTTTTAATATTATTTTTGCAATACTTAACACTTGAAATGTTAAATAAATTAAATTAAAATCATCTAATTCAATTTTTAAGTTCATTTTGTTAAATTAGATTGAAAAGAATTTTGAATTGACAGTTCATTTTATTCAAAATGATAAATGTTTTTATTTCTATTTCATCTTCAAATCTGCTTAACGTTTAAGATATATGATAGTTGGAATGTATTTATTTGTATTCTACGTACAGTAAATGGTAAATTCTCTGCATTGTTTGAGAGGATTGTTGTCCGTTTGATTACTAAAAGTGGCGATTACACTTTACATAAAAAAGCATAAAGCGAATTAATGTTAAGACCAAATCCAAAACAATTTTTGGTGTATTTACATCATCTCACATTCTACTTGATTAAATATAACCAACCAACACCGCATAAAATGTAATTATACTTACTTTTTCAAACATAATATGCCGAATCTGAAAAATAAAAAATTACACATTAATAAAAATAAACAATTACAGAATGAGTCTATCTGGCGGTTTCCGAATTCGCTGTGATCGACGGGGCAAAAAGTTTCTGTTAGCAATCTTTGTTTAGTATGTTTGCACTGTCTTTGGTTAAGTTATCACTTATCACTAATCATTGGAATGTTGAGTAGGGTTATTGTTACGAGCACTATTCATTGCAGAACGCGCAGTCGATTAAACTTCTCCTAGAATAACCTGGAGTAGTTGACAGTCTTATCAGATGGCTGTTGTGGATCATGTTACTTTTGGAATAGAAAACTCAGGCAGGTCATTATCTTTAAACTGACTACCTATATTTGTAATCTGACCAACATGGAGTCTCCATAGTTGTCTAATTACGTTAACAATATAATGTAGTTATCCATCACGACTTACTACTGTTCCCAAATTCCATTTCACATCGGGTTTCCCATAGTTTCCAACAGCAGCGTGATCTCCAAATTCGAAACATCGCTTCTTAAATTAAAGATGTCTTCCTCGGATTTTTTTATTCAGTTTCTCTTCTAAAATCAGGTCTGAGGAGATCAATCCGAATTCGGATTTATCAAGCAATTTGGCAGGACTTTTTATGATGTGGCATTTGTTACTCTTCTACAACGCATCAAAATTTTTTGAAGAGAATGAAGACAATGCATCATAGACTGTATCAAAATACATAATATTAGGATAATGCACATTTTATGCCTAAGAAGCTCTATTTGCCGCAAAAAATTATTTTTTGTTAGTTACGAAATATTTTTATCTGTATCCTTCAAACACTTATTTTCCATCTAGCCAGAGGAACATAATCTACTCGGTAAAAAGATTGTAGTAAAAGCTATAGAATTAAAAAATGAAGAAATTGAAATGATGCAAAATAAGCTTGATCAGCTAGAAGAACCAGTAATTAGTGATACAAATTCTGAGGTACATTTATTTATTTAATTTTTATCTTTAGATCGGATGTTTCTTTTTCCCGAACGAAAAAAACATGTTATACATGTTTATAATTCTATAATTGAAATACCTTGATGTCATATGTTATAGTTTTATTCATAAAATAATCTATAAAAATTTAAATTTTTTTTGTCGCTTTACTGTCGCTCTACTACCCATAGCTCTGCCTTATAATAGTCTATTTTATGTATATATATATTATGTATTTTATGTATATTATGTATATGTATTTTATGTATATGTATGTATTTATTTTATATATATTATGTATATGTATTTTATGTATTATGTATATA